GGACCTGTGTCCCCTTGTGGAAGGGGAGGTGGCTTCCTAGGACAGAAAACCATGAAAGGGGCACCATAGTCCAAGACTACCAGGGTAGGCGGGGCTTGAGAGCATCTGAGAGTAGGCTTGGCTGCTGGCCTGACCGGTATGGCCTGGCTTCCTCGCTGGCTATCTGCTGGGCACTCTGGAAGCTCCTCAGCTATTTGAACTCCAAGGTAGGGTCAGGGCACCCAGCCCAGCCGTTGGGAGCTGGCAGTTGATGGGCAGTCCTGAAGGTGGAGCCTCCCCAGCCTGGACTCTGACTCAGCAGCCTGACACCCCTGTGTCTGGCAGCCTCGTCCCCAGCACCAGTGGGATGTGAGCCTCTGCCTTGAGGAGCTTCAAGCTGAGCAGTGGGTTCCTGGGGTCCTTGTTACCTCTTGCCCCAAACCAGGAGTCAGGGTCAGACCTACCCAGTGTCCAAGGACACGAGACCCCCTGCCCGAGACGAGAGTAGCCACCCTCAGCCCCAGTGGCAGGGCAGGGAGAACAGGAATACCTGGGCCTTGATGGGCATCTCCTTCCACCCTGTGGGAACCAGCCTCAGCTTCCCCACTGCCAGGGTGGACCTCCCCTCCCCTCCTGGCCTCAAAGGGCTGTTGGGAGCATGACATGAGATCATTCTGGGCACTCAGCCTTGAGTCCCTTCCAAATAGCAAGACAGGTTTCCCATCTTCCAGAGGGATTGTGAGCACCGTGCGCACAGGGTCAGGCCCCCTCGAGGCCCACCCAGGCTGGCTCTGAGAAGTGCAGTCAGCGCACAGGCTTCAGAGTGGCGCTGCCAGGATGTTGAGGGAACCCTGAACGTCTAGATTCCTGGGGAGGCTCTGAGAGATGACCCTATGACCATTCTCCCTCCCACACTCTGTGCAGAACAAAGGTTGACTGGTTCCATTTGACATCGAGGGGACAGGGCTGAGTGGGTCCCAGCTGTTCCAGGGCTGTGTGTGGGGTGCCCCCATTCCAATCCAAGTCATGCCTCATGTCTGTCTCTTCTTTCCACCCATCCCTGAATCCCCACACTACCACATTTTAACTGCTGCAGTGACACGCTAATCTGCTTTCAATAGAGGAACCAGAGTAATCTTTGTAAAATGCAGCGTCATTATGCCCTCCCTTTGGCCTCGTATTGTCCATTGCTCTTTGAGTACAGCTGGAAACCTTCTCCTGACTGACCTCAGGGCCCTCTCCTATCCTCTCTCCTGGGACTCTCCCCCATCCCATCCTCTCTGCTAGGAACACACCTCACTGCTTCTGACCTCAGGACATTTGCACCTGCTACTCCCGCTGGCAGGAGCACCATAACTCATCTGCATTTCTCAGCTATGAGATGAAATACCATGTCCTTAGAGGGCCCACCAGTTCCTACCCAAAAAGGCAGGTTCCCCATTAATATGTCCTCTAGTTCTCCACCTTTTCCTTGCAGCTCTCACCAGTGTCATCATGATTGCAGAGCTGGTTTTGTTACTGCCAAGATTCCCTTACTATCTCCCGACAAAGGGCCAGCTCTGTGTAGGTTCACTGCTAAATCTTGAGTGGTAATACTGTGCCAGGCACACAGTGGGGCCAACAACTCTGCCTGCCGAGGGATATGGAGAAGGAGAGGCCAGGCAATGCGATTCCAGACTTCAGTGGGTGGGCCCTGAGAGAGAGGCCAGGGGTGGCTTCATTTGAGAAGAACCATTGGGAACCTATGAGGGGCCTGTCCCTGGGCTGGGGGGTTATGTGCCTAGTGGAAGAGATATTTACACACCAAAGCTCAATTATGGGGAAAAACACAACTCCTTTAGTTCTCATAAATGATGCTGCCCTCATCATAGGACAGAAGGAAAAGTGAAACCTGCCCTGTCAGACAGGGGCTCAGGCTCTTCCCATTTAAAAGCCTTCAGGGAGAAGTGGTTAAGCTCTGTCTCCAGGCTTGTCATCATCAGCTCAGGCCACTATAACAAAATACCACAGACTGGGGGGCTTAAATAATGCACATCTATATCTTACAGTTTGGGGTTGGAGGCCCAAGATCAAGGTGTCAGCTGATTCGGGTCCTGGTGAGGGCTCTCATCCTGGCTTGCAGACAGCCACCTTCTTGCCCTCACATGGCAGAAAGAGAGAGAACAAGAGAGAGAGGGGGCTCTGGTGTGTCTTCCTATAAGGACACTGATCCCATCATGGAAGTCCCACCCTCAGGACCCCATCCAACACTTGTCACCTTCCAAAAGCCCCACCTCCTCAAATTGGGGTTTGGGGCTTCAACACATGAATTCCGAGGGGACACAATTTTGTCCATAGCAGCACTGTCTGTCACTTGTCCTTCCTCCCTTGGGGTAGGAGTACATGCATGATGTGGTCGCCCTGTGTCTGCACACATCTGTCCCAGCATGTTATGCCCTGACAGTGGCCCTCCAGAATTCAGGTCCCTTGGGGTTTGTTCTTCCAGCTATGGCCATGCAGGAGGTCTTCTGCAGGCCAGCACCCCCTGGACTCTCTCTAAGACCCAACAGTGACCCCAGCTCCAGGTAAAGCCAACCCCCAGGCATCCTGCCCATTGTGCCTGGATCTCCACACATAGCCAGGAGCTGGGCTGCCCTCGAAAGCTTCTTGTTGCTGAAGGTTCCTGTGCCTCCATTTCTGCCCTCTGAAGCCCCTCAAGACATGATTGTATCCCCCAGAACTCAGACAGCAAGCAGGGGCAGGGGTTTAAGCCTTCTCCTCTCTTATTTCTTTCTCAAATATCAGGGCTGTTTTTGCCCTCAAGGCAAAAACATCAAACTGGTGGATGACCAGGGGTCAGGGGTGGAAAGAGTAAAGTGAAGCCTGGCCATTCCCTCTCCTGCTCCTTCCAGCTGCAGCAGGACCTCCCCATGTCACCACCATCTTCATTTCTGCACCATGACTTTCAAACTCCGGGAGCCAAATAGGCCAGTTTTGCTGGTGATAGAGCAATTACCCTGAGGATGGAAAACCCCTTTCTCTCTTAAGATAAACTGACTTTTAGGGTTATTGTCTTGCTGTAAGCTAAAATATCTAGTTTGGCCCTCAAAACTGGGCAAGGACATCTGTGCTTTGGGGGTGTGCATCCTATCTCCAAGACCTCAGGCCTGGGGCAGTTGGGGGTGGGCTTTGGGACAATATAATCTACTGGCAGTGACAAATACAGCATTTTACCACTTTCACCATCATTCCTTCTCACATGTGTGGAAATTTGTCCTCAAAAGCTCTGTGAAGTAGGGACTGCCACCCTTGTTTTACAGAAGGGATGGCACAGTGTGGCCTCTTGGGGCTTCCCCTTGTCAGCTGCAGGTGGCCCGGTGCCGACCCACCCTCTCCAGTCTCATGCACCGAGTCACACACAGTGACGTGCGTGCTCCTGTTAGTCTGTCAGCAGCCACTTCCCAGTAGGAAAGCCAGGATGGGTGAGGAACCCAATTACAATCAGAGGGTACATTTGCTGGGCAAAAGGCTCCTGGCAGGGACTGCACATTCGGCCAGCTGCTGCCCTCAGTTGGGGCTCACTATGTATGTTATCGCTGCCCTCTCACTGGTGCCATCTCAACACACTGCAACAGTGGCAGCGGCCACCAGGCTCCTTGTCTCACGTGCCCCATGTGCCGGCCTGTCCATCCATCACTGTTGATTTTCCTTGTTAATGCTCAGATTTCCTGAAGGGTCTTCCTGGTGTTCATAGGTCACAATCACCGTGCTCAGATAGAAGCTGTAAAAGTTGGGGTTCAGAAAGAGTTCAGCACTGGCCTGAGATGGCAGAGTGAGTTCTGCCCTCCCAAAGGGCCAGTCAGCAGCCTCTGGGCCCTGTCTACACTTTGCTCTCAGTGACAACATGAGTGGACTGATTCTTTCAGAGTTTGTCCTGAGCACCTACCTGTGCTGCTGTGTCCTGGGTGCTGGGGACACGCAGGGGAAATACAGGAGACTGTGCAGCTCACAGCCATGGGGGCGTGAAGAGCTCAACAAGTAATGGGCAGCAGTGCTGCTGAAGAGCAGACCAGACCTGGGGAGACCCTTCCGGGAGGAAGCGGCCACGAGGCCGGGCCTCCAGGAGGAGAGGGTTGGGTCATTGAAGGAGGTGGCAGCAAAGGGGCGGGTCCAGGTAGGATTCTGAGAGTGCCGGGGGCGGAGGGGGGGGGCATGTCAGTTGGAAGAAGGCTCTGTCAGCCCATACCTGGGGATAACCTGACCAGTGTTTCCAGAAGGTCATTCTGGCTGTGCTGTGGGGAGTGGGTCTACTCACCTTTCTTGTGCCAAGGACCCCTTTGGCATCTGGTGAAGCCCACGGGCTCTTGCTCAGAATAATGTTTTTAATGCAAAAGATAAAATACATGAGAATAAATGAATGATAAAATACAAAAGAAGCCAATTATATGAGCTGCAGTTATCAAAACAGAGCACAGAGAGCACTTTGTAACACAGTAGTATCTGTTCTTTATTAACACATTAAAACTCAGGTGTGGTGGTAGGTCTACACCGCCCCCCTTTCCAAGTGGTGATGAGAGTGGAGGACGTTTCACAAACAGCAGCAGCAGCAGCTGTGGAGTGATTTCTGCTAGTGACAGTGCTGGCACTGTCCATAGGGTTTGTCACCGATGGTCACCTTTAAAGAAAAGGCCATATGCAGTTAGAGGCTAGACCAAACAGAGGGGTCATTCCCTGCCCAAGCTCAGGTGCCAGGTGGAAGTGACTGCATGGCAGGAAGGGGGTGCTGAGGAGGGGGTGGCAGTAACCCAGGCGGGGGTAGTGGCTGGATTACTTTACACTGGGGGTGGGCAGCACAGGGAAAGGAGGGGCTGGATTCAAGGTTGGTGGTGATGCCTGGGTGTACACTGGGAAAACATGGAGGGGTGTGAGGGGCCCAGGGCTCTGGCCTGGGGACATGTTGGGTGGTGATGTCATTTGCAAAGCCAGATCTGATCCTTGGGCCTGAGATCCCTGCTGACAACACCTCCCTGGTTGTCTTTCAGGTCAACGAAATCTATCATGACGAGTCCTTGGGAGCCCACATTAACGTGGTCCTGGTGCGGATAATTCTGCTGAGCTACGGCAAGGTGAGTGAGTGTCCCCACCCCCACCACGAGGCACAGGCCTCCTTTGAAAGTGTTTATATCTCCCAAACCACCTGCCTCTTCCAGCCGCCTGTCCTGTGCTTCCTGCCAGAAGCAAGAAACTTGTCAGTCACCCCTGCTTTCCGATTCCCCTTTCACCCACGCCCCTTGTTTTAAAATGTAGGTTTTGTTGTTATTCAGGTGTGGTAAGGATAGCACATCAGGAGGTAACTGCAGTGGAAAAGATGGTTTGTTCCCCACAGACCCCGCCACACAGGGTATCAGGGAAGCACCAGGGTCAATCAGAAGGCAGACGGAGGGAGGGGCGAGCACCTTTATAGTGGTTTCCACAGAAAGGAACAGGCAAAGCAGAGAGAACAGGAGGAGGATTGGCTAGCTTAAATAATTTCAGCAGGCTGTTTGGCAAAGGGCTGTCCTGGTTCTCTGGGGCCTGGCCCTGGGTTGGTCAGGGCAGAGGATGGTAGCCAGAGTGTAAGCGCCCGATGAAGGGGGTGCTTAGGGCTGGACTCTCAATTGGTTAGTTCGCATTCCAGAAGCATGCTCTGTAGTGACTTGTTCACTATCTGTAGGAATTGGTCAACTCCAGGAGGGCAGTCAGTCCCTCTAGGGTCAGGAAAGTGCTAGATGTCAGAGCATGAGAAACATCCCTCACTTGGACTCCTGCCCATGGACTTCATACCTTCAGTCCATGTCCTCCTATTCTCATACTGCATAGCCTGTGCCCAGCTGGGCTATCTAGCCCTTCTTACCTCCTCTCACTGAAACTCGGAACCACCTTTCCCAGCACAGTGCACAGGTCTATGCATGCTCTGTGCATTGGGGGGGAACTGAGACAGATAAGGGGGTGGCATGCAAGGAGAGATGTGAGCAAGGAAGCCACCAGCTTGACGGAGAGAGTGCCAGTGCCCAGCAGCTTGGAAGCACTTCACACCTGCTCACTCGCTCAGTGCAGGGACAGATGGGGAGGTGGGGCTGTGACCGTCCTCATTCACAGACAGGACACTGGGGCTTGACGGGGTTCAGGGCCATGCCGGGTGAGTGGCCAGAGCCAATTTGCTTCTGGCAAGTCAGGCTTCCTACCCTGGCAGCTGAATTCTAGAGTCCATGGTCTGACCTCACTCGGTGTGTCAAAAATCAAATTACAGTAAGAGCAAGCACATCAGGCACGGTCATTACGTGAAGGGTTACCCCCTCCACTCAAAGACAGAGAGTCTCAGTCTTAAAAGAAAAAAAAAAATTCCACAGCACACAACTTACAAGGCCCATAGTATAAAAACGACAAGGAAGGACTCATGTGGCACAATGATTTCCAGGAGCTGTGGACCTTGAACCCACTCTCCTTACCCTGGGAAGCCTGTCACTCTAAAGTGACAGAGGTAGCCATGGCGAGGGCACCAGTCATAGACCCACAAAGAGCGCAAAACCTACCAAAGCAAACCACCAAAACAAGGAGATATTGGCAAAAACTTAACTGTGGTAGAATTTTATACCTTTCTCAAGACCTTTGACAGATTATATTTTAAAAGTTATAAAAGTTTCAAATGATGTAATGAATAAAGTTAAATTAGTTGTTATATAATTATTCCCTTGCTCTACAGAAAGATGTGCTTTCTTTTTGAGGGATCACAGAACACTTGAAAATTATGAAAGTACTTTTGGTCATAAAGAAAATTTCAGTGAATTTTATACAGCAAAAACTGCCCAGACTATATTCCCTGAGTCGGTGCCCCAAAACCAGCAGCGGGGAGAGGGGTATATGACTGAAAATCCAACTCTTGAAAATCAAAACAAAAACAGCTCTTAGGAAGAAAAATGTTAGAGCAGCAATTGCAGACTGTTTGGAAAACTAATGGAAACATGGGCACTACAGATTCAAAGCAGGTCTGCAGGTGCTTTCCAAGATGAACAAGTGAGAAGAAAAACAAAGTAACTGTTCATTCAGCTCAGTAAGTCAGAACACCTATCAACAACAACCCAAACCAAAACCTGAAGAAAGCAAAACTGAGGAAATCATTCAGAAAAAGCAGAAATCAATAAATTAGAAAATAGAAAGCAACAAGAGAATCAACCAAGAAGAGGGTTTTGGAAAAGGAGAACCTCTGGCCTAGTTAATCTAGACAAAAAAGAGGAAGCACAAACCAAGTGGGTGTATTCTAACATACCCTACACCAGGATGCTTCTCCTGGCGGAAGAGAAAGCTCTCAGGGCAACGTGGCATGAGCCGCTGTTGGGACATCTCCACTTGGGCCCGCTTCCCGTGCGGTCGCTCAGATGCCCAGCAGTGACCAGTGAAGGAGGGGATGTGCACACCTTTCTCCACAGGTGGCCTGGCTAGGTGAGCTGCAAGAGGCTCCCTAGCCCTGTACCCAGGTTCCTGGCAGTGCACTATAGACACAGACTCAGGGAAGGGGAGGATGGGGCAGGTCCAATTCCAGCCTCTGTTCACAGGCAGGGGTCTTTGGAATATCCCATGGAACTCTCCTCAGTCCCCAGTGGAGTATCTGTCCACATGTTCCCTCTCCCCCACCCCCAGTTCCTCCCCAGGCCGGGTCCTTCCAGCCCTTCCGGTCCCTGCCTGAGGCCCCTCCACCAGGCCCTCCTGTGTCTGAGGAATTCTCAGGCCTTTACAATGAGGGGTGGGTGCAGTTATGTTCCCCTCCCCACATCTCGTTCTACCACTGGAGATAGAAAATAGGAAACTTCTGGTCCTGGGGGTAGAGAGAGGGGAGAAGAACTGCCCATTGGCCTGGGTACCAGGTGGCAGGTTGTGTTTTTCCCAGGTTGCTCCCATAAAGAAAAATCCAAAAACTGTATATGGTTCATTGCTTAGTAGTACTGGCAAAACTTTGGCTTAGTTGGCCTAAAAAGTGTCTGCCTCCTTCGCAGTGTTGATCAGTCAACAGAACAAAGCCTCTTTATTTTAACTACTCCTTGGCCTGCTCTGGGCTCACTCATCCCACCCAAAGCTGTTCCTTCTTCTTGTTCTTTTTCCTTAACTGAGGCAGGCAGGACTGTGTGGTCACAGTGCAACATTTGCAGAAGAGAGTCAAACATGAGGCGAGAATGAGGACCTCTGGGTCAGGCACCTAGAGATCCTGGGAGGTCAAGGGCTTCCTGGGGAATATTTCAAAGCTGACTCAAAAAAAAAAAAATGTAGAAAACTCCATAAGTCCCATAATCATGGAGGAAATTCTAGTTCTTTACTGTTTTCAAAGTTATCTTAAAATTACCTCTAAATAGAGTCAGATAATGTTTTTTGCCAGTGCATTCTCATTCATTTGCAAGGAATTGTTAAGGAAAATACAATGCCATATAAACTGTTTCAGAATATATGCAGATATATATATATGTGTGTGTATATATATATATATATATCTGTATATATATCATATACAGATATATCTATATATTTAAAAATATGTATATATATATATTTTTTTAATCTACCCAATT